TTGTGGCATTTTCAATTTTTCAAGCAAAAGGTTCAGCGAGAATATCTTCAGTGAAAGGGGAATGACGCTTAGTGAGATACTCCTCTGTACCTCCTTTATTTTTGGCTTCCAGATCAGCAATGCATTTTATCAAGGCGTTCATTTTAGGTTCAGCCTATTCCAAATGGCGCTTTGCACGGGGCTCAACATATTCACTTCGAGGTGTTAGGGACGCTGAGATCCCAACCTATCAAACACACTGTTGGTTTTCCTAGCAACCGGCTCCGCTGCTGTGGGAGAACTCTTGATTTTTTCAGTTTGACCTTTAGACAATTCTTCTCCTGAAAAGTGGAGAGCCCTCCTGATGGGAGGTCGTCTAGTCCGTTCCTTGTGTGGGGACTCTACCTCAATATTGGGTTGGTGAATGCGAGTTTAGTTTTGCTACAATCTGTTATTATATTTTTCAACCTCAATTCTATATGCATATATGATACGAAAAAATAATAATTTAACATTGAATTTCAAAGACCTAAGAAGAGCACTTTGGTAATAAATCAAAAGCCTAAGATTTGGAGCGTTACAATAATTGTTACATGTTAAATCGGGAGATGACATGTTAGAACACAATTTTATTTTTTATGAATTTGTTGATAAATTGATAGATTTCTGCTCATTCATGCGATTGTAAGTTCATATGCATTACGTTTATCAAATTACATATGAATCAATAGAGAAAATTTTGATATTTAGGAATACGTTCTCAAAAAATGAACATTAACACTTTTTATGTTGAATTTCTTGACCGACAAGACAATAATTGAACCAAAATATGAAATTGAACATAAGTGGGCTTAATTAGTGAATCGAGACTCCTAACTATTTTCTTGATCTATTTTTACATTGTTCTCATTCGTCCCATTATGATTAACTTGCTTAATTTAGTTACTAATTAGGAAAAATTAAAATTAAACCTTGGGTTCTCGTAAGGTTTTTAATAAAAAAAATATAATTAATATCCAGCTCTCTCATGTGACGATACTCTAGTAATCTTTTATTACTTTACGATTCTATCTACTTGGTAATAATTTCGCAACAACTTTGTCTAATGGAGAATCAAAGACAATGCAAAATTATATCAACCTTAATAAGGGTTAATTACCCCAATAGTCACTAAACTTTACCGAAAGTTTCCACCAGGTCAATGAACTTTAAAAACTACGTGATTAGTCAAGAATTTCAGGATAAGGATGTGGGTTCACCTCTTTATCGTTGAACGATAGATGGTCATTCGTTATATTTCTGCAGTGTTTCTCAGTAATACCAATCTGAATGAGGTCAGCTACGATGGGTCTCTTTAATCTAGCCTCCCTTGCTCAATCATTTTGTTGGTTTCCCAACATTCGGACATGAGGACTAGGTAAATCAACGTTGCAAGCTCTAGCCTCAGATTGATTTCCATGCACTATACCAACTTCGTCCGGAATGAAAAAATTTACGTAGTAATGATATATTGAAGTGGCAGCCTGCAATTCGTGTAATATGGGTCTCCCTAATATAGCATTATAATTGGAAGGCAAGTCAACAACCACAAAATCCGCTAGAATCCTTCTCTGATAGGGGACCTTGCCTAGCTCTATGATCAAAATAATTTGACCTCGAACTTCAATTGGGTCCCCAGAAAATCCTTGCAACTTCCTGGAATACAGTTAGAGATATTGTTCTTCGATTCCCATATGTTCTATAGTTGGAGAATACAACAAATTGACCGAATTCCCATTATCCACAAGAGTTCGATATATTTGTATGCCAGTTATCGACATGGTTATTACCAGCACATCACTTTGGTCCTGCAAAACTCCATACGAATCTTTTTTCTGAAAATCCAAACCATTCCGATAGTGATTCAATACCAATATCAGGCTCTAGTAGTCCTACATCGTAATTCTGGTAAATGCGTGCATCTTGCACTTGTCTGAGCCTTACCCTCATGGATTCTTCAATGCACTAGTTTCCATCTACAAACATTCTGATTTCAACTCGAGGTGGGGGATTCTGAGCTTGGTGAAATGGCTGACCTTGTTGATCAGCCCCATGTTGGTGAGGTTGTTGATTAGATGCCCGATTCGTTTCTCTGGGTTTAGCCACAAACTCCTGCAAATGACCTCGTCGAATTAAGGACTCTACCTCTTCCTTCAAATTTTTGCAATCGTCTGTGTTTTGCCCTGTCGTTCTATGATATTGGTAGTATTTTCCTTGGTTCCTCACTGGTGGATCATTTTTTTGACGTGGGGGTCTGCAAAATGCTTCTTTTTCTCCTGTTTGTAGGAAAACCTCCTCCAAGGTAGTGTTCAGTCGGTGATATTCATGGAATATTTCCGGATAAAACCTTGGACGATCTCTGTCCCTTTGGTCTTTCCTCTTTTCATGATCGAACCCTTTATCCACTTTTTTCTCCTTTGTGGGATTAGAGAAATGTGGATTCATCTTAACTTTCTCCTTATCTAAAGTGGCTTCCTCCACGCTTATATGTTTTTCAACAGGATTGAGGTACTCGTGATACGTTCGAGGCCCATCTTCATGTACAGACCGCCAAACTCGTTTTAGGCCTTAGCTCAGATAGAACTGCCATGAATGAATCATCATCAAAGATTTTTTCAACCTCCATGGACTGTTTGTTAAACCTATTAAGGTAACTTTTAAGCGATTTTCTTTTCCCTTGCCTGATGCTTACTAAACGTTCTTTTGGCAGGATTCTTGCATTGGAACCCATGAACTGAGCTAGGAACGCTGTGGTAAGGTCGTTCCAGTTTCTTATGGACCTCTGATGTAGCCTACTAAACCACCTTTGAGCTTTGTCTCCCAACGTTAATGGAAAAGCACGACACATAATAGCGTCGCCTACTCCTTGCTGCTCTATCCAGGAAGTTTACTTGTCTAAATGACTAAGTGGATCCCATTCTCCCTCATATTAAGTTAGTTGTGGCATTTTCAATTTTTCAAGCAAAATGTTCAGCGAGAATATCTTTAGTGAAAGGGTAATGGCGCTTAGTGAGATACTCCTCTGTACCTCCTTTATTTTTGGCTTCCAGATCAGCAATGCATTTTTTCAAGGCGTTCATTTTAGGTTCAGCCTGTTCCAAATGGCGCTTTGCACGAGGCTCAACATATTCACTTCGAGGTGTTAGGGACGCTGAGATCCCAACCTATCAAACACACTGCTGGTTTTCCTAGCAACCGGCTCCGCTGCTGTGGGAGAACTCTTGATTTTTTCAGTTTGACCTTTAGACGATTCTTCTCCTGAAAAGTGGAGAGCCCTCAAAGATACATTATGCAAAATTATATCAACCTTAATAATATGTCAAACAATACTTAGCATTTTTCTTACGTGCTTGACATAAAGTCAAACACCACTTAAAGCTATTCGAAAAATTATCTTATTATTATATATAGTGTCATTTTGGACAAAATATGTTCATAGTGTTATTATTGAGATATCAACATGATGATTAGTAACATAACTTGATTATTTCCGACCTATAATACTAAATTATTGGTATCATTGAAGGTTGACAATATCTTAGGTTCATGTGGACAGTTCATTCATTAATTAAAACAAAATAGACAAATAGGCTTTGCAAGGAGTCCATTCATTCAATCAATCTGAACAAAGCTAGGCAAATAGACAATATTCTAATATGCACGTTGGTTTTGACTTTGGATCGTGATTCGTTCAGCATGATAACAAAAGCATTATTCTTTTAGCCGACAAGGAAGATAGAAAAAGAAATTGGACAAATAAGAATCTTGAAATAATTGAAACACCTTCCAAAGTTTACAGGTAGGACATTGTCGGTTTAAGACAAAGTCTTGTTAAGGAATAACATGCGGAATAGACATTTATTTATTCTTTGTTCCTTTCTTTTCTCGATATTGTTGACTTCTTTCATTTTATTTTATTTTATATATGAAGTGAATGATAATAGTTGTTCTAGTAAATAATACATGAATACCCTTTAAAAGCATGCTATTTTTGGTTTAGCAGACTTACTAATTAATTTTCAAATAAGCACTTAAAATGATACTTTTAAGCGGACAAAAATGTTCTAAATTCAAAACCTTCATTTCATGCTAATAACGAGTTTCGTGATATAATTAATTACTAACAACTTGTGTGACACCATCTAAAAGCGCACACGCTTATCTTGTTTTTATGAGTATACCGTTTAAACATACACCTAAAAAATACTTTTAAGCGGCTTTAAATTCAAACCTTACCTAGCTTATGCATCACAAAATTTTTAAATTGATTAATGAAAGTCTTTCTTTATTCCTCTTTTTTAGGTAGCGTGTAATAATATATGTGTTTGTCGCCATCAGAAAAGCATGCTTATCTCGTTTTTGTGAGTGTACAGCTTAAATATATACGCCTAGAAATTGATACCCTACACAGTTAAGCTTGTTTAATTATCTTGATTTTGTGAGTGTACACATCAAAAATACACCTAAAAATGTACTTCATTTAATGAATTATCGTTCGAATGCACACGTGAAAAGATAATCCATTTAATGAGTGTACCGTTCAAATACCAACTTCAAAAAAAATACTTTTGTATGGATCAAATATAGGCTCTAAATACCTTGCTTATGCATCAGATTAGAAACTCTTAAATTCAAGTATCACTAAAATGGGTGATTATGTTAATTATTCTCTTTTGCTTACTTAAATGTTAATTAATAATCACGACCTACATACATGCAGCTAAAAGAACTATTAAAAAAAGATAACAAAATAACACAAATTTATGCCTCCATAAAATTTGTAAAGATCTAGGAAAAAACGACAGGATTTTCAACGAGAAAAGTAACCTTTTTTCTCCCATTTCCAGAAATTCCATGGTCCAATCATCACCCAGAGAAATAATAATCCATCAACAGTTTAGAGTCCAATAAATCTATGCAAGAACCGAGACAGAAAAAAATGGAAATGACGAACGATTCATAGGGAAGCATTTTCTGATGCATCAGAAACGCAGGAGTGGACCACGACATCTGGGGCAATCCTTACGCAGCTTGGGCACCATGTAGTACATAAGACAGCTCTTGCATCCTACAGCGACAAGTACGTTGAACTCTTCCATGAAGCGATCTCCATTATGGCTCCATCGCTCAGTTGAAGATGAAGCACAAGATTCTGATGAAGAGCCATCACTGTCGTATGACCTGCTATCATCTTCTGAGTATAAATTTCCACAGTATACTGCTGTGGTCCTCGGATCTTCAGTCACTTTTATCCCAGTGTTCCAATTTTTGTAATACATTTTACCAGTCTGCAAGCGAAATCCAGCACACAGATTATATGTAACAAAACAAACTTGTGTATAATCATGGGGTTCAAAGAAAATGGCCCAAAATAATACAGTTGATCGGAAAGATCCATGCAGGTATTTATTGGGTAAAAAGAGCTATAAATTTTCATTTGATTTTTCTGGAGAAAAGAATTTGTTTGAAGATCTGAGGGCAAGGAATCTGTCAGTTCAAACTGCAAACTTTATTTTGCCTGGAAGAGAAAAAAGTACGATGGAGATAAAAACGAAGTGATAATAAATAATCCACCATCAATAGAAGTAGAACTTTCGGAAAATGAAATAAAACTAAATGCAAGATCTGCTATTATGGTTTTGAGCAATAAATGAAGAGCTAAAGTAGAAAAAAGACTGCTTAAGATCTTAGAAGAAATTGTCTCGTGGGGGATTCAGGGGGAAGGAAGGTGGCGTTTACCTGCAAATCAAGGAATTGCTCCCAGTATTCAGGGAGCGGGATTTCGGAGTTGAGTTCTATGGTCTTGGAGAAATGATGTGTTTTTGGTGAATCTGAGTCACGGTAACCTGATTCAGCGCCGCCACTTCCGCCTACGGACACGCTGCTGTTACTGTCGCTGCTGCTGATTTTCAGGTGGTTTAAGGAACCATTTTCAAGAGAGCTTTCGATGGATGATGTGATTGTCGCCATGTTTGGAAGTGTTTGATTGTGAGCCATCAACTCAAATTAAGATGACTTCAAATGAAAAGAAATGGGAGGAAATTTTGACGGCGGGCGGGCGTATGTGTGTGAAAGTGGGGGGAGAACGAATAAGCCTAAAAGGGTGGGTCCATATTTATAAATGAAAAATAAAACTGAAGTTAAACAAAGGAGTTTTTTTTTTTTTATTATTTTATTTGATGAAGAAAATGGAGTAGTTTTTGGATTTTAAATCATTACTGATCTGTATAGGTCCAATCCAGTTCATAGAACCCTGGTTCCATTTATATAATTTTCAATAAAAATCAACTTGGTCTTATTCTTGAAAAAACAATGCTCACAAATACTCATAGTATCCCTACTTCTCACAACTTGATATATGGTCATAAATGCTCATAAAAAACATTTTTCATTAAATTTTTTCTAAGTACTTTTTTCAATACTGTCAAAATGAATAACTTATTTAATTAAATTCTAATCAATAAAACATCATTCATTTATATAATACTTATTTACTTATAAATAAACTTTTGACGCTTAGCTAAACATGTTAGTACCAAAACATAATAAATATCGATTTGTATTATTTTGTCCTTTTCGAGCGTTAGGTAATATTGAGTTGGAATATTTAATGAGATTCTTTCTTGACACTTAATTTGTCGTTTTCTACCTAATTTTGCATTAGTGAAGGGCCGTGGTGAATAGTTTTATTAAAAAAGAGGTTGAACCCCAACCTTGAGGGTCCTTCACCGCCCCGCCCCGCCCCGCCCCTCCCCTCCCCTAGAGCATTGTGGAGAAGGTTGCGGGATGTGTCTCAACAGGTTAGGGTATAAGAGCTACCATACTGGTACCACAAAGAGTCAAATTCCATACAGAAATAGTTTTATTTACATTACTACTCGACTCCAGAGAAGAAATACAAGTGTATTCGTATTTATTCATTTATTTGAATAACAAACTCATACTAATCTTGTTTACGGATATTGATCAAGGGAAATATACATTTGGCTAGTTTGCATTATCTCAAGGCTTAAGTGGATTCTACCTCAACCCATTGGAACAGATACACATGTATTATAATTATACGAATGCATAAATTATAAACTTATCATAATTATGTGAAAATATTTTAATATATGCATGTCTAGTCTGCATTAAGAAATAGCTTAATTCAATATTTAGGTCGAATTGACTCAATAAATATACGTCTGTTTATAATTAATTGAGAGCATGAATCAGAAGTTTATAGAGCATTTTGCATTTGAGAGAATGTGAAATTCCGGTAACAAGAATTTCCATTTTTTTTTTCTCAAATTGTAATCTTGAAGCCAAACAAATAATTAAGGATTTTAGAAAATAAAGTGTCTAGGATGTGTTTCTTACTTGAAAGAAGAAATTGGTACAAATTGTCCCTAGTTTATGGGGTTGTTGCGAAATGATCCCGTCCCTAGCTTTTCACATAATGACATAATTAGTTCTTTTGGATGATTTCCATCCAATTTACTGTTAAAATGGTCAAACTTTTGATAAAAGGACTACAATCCCATTATTTTTAATTAAATAAAATAACTAAATTAGTGAAAAATAAAAATTAGATTTATGACAAAAGAGAGAGAGAGAGAGAGAGAGAGAGAAAACCCATCCTAGTATTCAATCTCATAAGAGCATCTCCAATGCAACCCGTTGATTATTTTAAAAAAATTGTTATTTAAGCGAAACCAATGGTCTTTGAAATATCCTCTCTAATGCGAACTAATAAAGACTCCATCAAGATGACGTCGTGATAGATAATATTATAGATATAAGAACATTTTCAATCTATATGATATTGATGTCTAATGCATAGACAATCAAGTTTTAAGTATGTTGGAAGGTTCTTTTGGTCTAATATTTTTATTTTTTGCTTATTCTATTTTATTTCTTTGGCTAAAATAAAAGCATTTTAGCCTTTATATCAAATTTTGACTCTTTTAATAACAATTGAATGAAAACCATCCAAAATGATCAATTGGACCTTCAAGTGGAAAGTTAAGAATTTGTGCTAAGATTTAAGGGAAAAATACATAAATACAATGCTTTAAGTATACATTTTGCTTCTAACAAAATTACAAAAATATTTCAAAAACCAGGTGATATATAATATTAATATATATTTTTAAGAATTACAAAAGAAATTTAGAAAAATTAGTTTAAGTTAGATATTTCCTTCAACAATATCATATTCTAATATATATCATTTAAATATTGTTTCTCTCACCTCCTACTTTGTGTCTCTTACACTTTACACTTTTTTATTCTCTCTCTCTCTCTCTACATACCATTTAATAATTATTTATCTCTGATCGTTTGATTTCTTGCAAATATACGGTATCACGAACAAATAATAAAGTGATGAATAAAATATTGTTACAACAAAGACTACATACTTAATCTAACATCAATTAATGTTGACTTTAATCGAATATCAAATTTTTGTTGAAGAATTTATGTTAAATTAACTAATTAAACTAAGTATTCTATGGAGAAATTTATAAAATTTTTGTAAATTTCAATGTGATATTACTAAGACCTTGAATCTCCCTCATTAATATATTTCAATACAAATCAATAATATGATAATATGTGCACATTATTGTTGGTTAATGTTCCTAAATTAATTAAAAGCATCTCTCGATGTAAATTAAATATATCATCTCAGTGACCTTTTATATCTTTTGGAAAGATGCGAACATGAAAATATGTATTTATAGAAAATCATGCAAAGCACATCGACATATCTCTATTTCTTATCGGACTTTACAATAATGATTATAAAGTACTATCTATCCTATTGTTTATCTCGAAATCAATAAAATTTATAATCAATCTAATAAGTGAAAAAATAATTGGAAAGTCATTAAATTCTATAACAATCATACAACAATAAATATATATTGGGCATCAAATTATTGAATTCATTAAAGTTTAATAATAAGGGTTCATCAATATCTTATTAATTGAAAAATTAGCACAACATTACGAAATTACAATAAAATATGTTTAATTGGAAGAACGTAACCCGAATTATTAATAAATTTAGAAGATGAAGGCGAATCTTGAATCTCTTCAATGATTTCTTGATGAATCTTCAATTGCACATTCTCTTCTTTGCCCAACAATCAGGGTTGATTCTTCAATTTGATGAAATCTAGAAATTGCATTTAATTCTCATAAAATCAATGAATTTGCCTCTCTTTAATTGATGTAATTGATGAATAATAATATATGAGAGGTTTTCTTAGGCCTTGTATGCGAGTGATTAAAATCGGATTAAAATTAAAAATATAGCCGTTATTGTTGATTTTTATTAGACGAGTAAGACCCAATAACAGCCATATTTTCAATTTTAATTGGCTTTTAATCCCTCCCGAACGGGGCTTTAATGTATTCCGTCGTTAGGTATTTATAGGAATCGAAAATTGGTTGAAAATCATGTCCAAATTAGTTTTCAAAAGAGTTTCAATCGAATAAGGAATGTTGTCTTCGCACTTGCATTTTTTTTTCTCACCACAGTAGTTAGTATTTTTGTCATAACTTTCACATCCGATATTTAATTGAGATGATTAAAAGTGCGTTGGAAAGATAACTCAAAGGACTACAATTTTTCTAAAATAGAATTTTTCTAATTCGAACATTTACTATGTTAAAAATGGGTTTCAATCGTCAGCGAAAAATCTGGAATATAACTTGCGCGATTGAAAATTGATTTATGAAAATATTTTGATTATATTTCATTCATTTTGAAACCTAATTGCATCCAATTGACTCCTAAAAACCTTTAATTATCGTTTTGTGGTCCGAATCAACTATTGAATATTTTCAATTTGGTACTCGAACTTTGGACTTCACCCTCTTTTTGCCCACTTTTTGCTCATTTCTTCTAATTTCACATCCAATCATAAAGTTTCTCCTAATAAATAAAATATAAACAAGATTAGGATTATAAAAAAAAAAAAAAACAAAGTACCAATATTGTAAAGTCCAAATAAATGTATAAAATATACTTATCAAACACTTCAAAACTTAAACATTTGTTTGTCATCAAACGAAACTATAACCTAATTTAACAAACAAACATTCAACAAAATTTTAGTTAGATAACCTAACATTTTATCTCAAGATTGGAATCATTATATTAAATTTATAAACAGTTTTCAATGTCACAATACTAAAATTAGTATCTATTTCTCCAATGCAAAATTGATGTATGTGTGTGTGTGTATGTGTGTGTGTGTGATTAAGTAAAATATTATAACATCACAAGTGTTTCACTTTTCAACCCTCAATGGCCAAATTTGTTCTTTCATCGCTCGAGAAATTCACACACCTCCAAACTTTTTTTTTTTTTTTTTTTACTTTTCTCCTAAGGTGTGATATATGGTTGATTTTTTATACTAAATGTCCACCCTATCTAGTTTAGATTGATTTCACTAATTGCAAATCAATATATTATCAAATAAAGATTCTCCAATTTTTTTATTACTTCAACCTCCAAGACTCAACTAGCTAATAATTTCTTGTCAAATATCTAATTCTCTCAAATAAGTGTTTGTGATTTAACCAAAGCATATAGTATATTAATGTATTTTTATTATTATTATTATCTTATGTGCAAACTTCTCTCCATCAAGTTTTCTAAATGACCATTGTAGCGAGTTTTTGGTCGATGACTCCTAAGCCAAATAACTATAAGACACCAGGTTTTAGATACCCTTGCAGACTTAATTATTTGAGTAGTAAAGATTGTGAAAAGATGTTTCACAATGAGATAACTCTTTTTCTCTCTTTTTTTTTGCTATGACTAGTGTAATGCCCTAATCAAACACTCATTCTAAAAAATCGCCCCATAACTTAAAATTTTCACCTAATTTTCATCTTGTAAGCCTTAGACAATCTGCTCACGGAAATATATTTCAATTAAAATTCACCGCAAGTGTACGGTTCGTTAACAA